TTAGGTTATAATAAATTCTTAAAAGCCTACCAATTTCCCTCCATTCCCTCTTACACCAAACAGAATTAAGATGGTTATTTTGAGCCTCTTTCTTATGTTCCCTTCTTTCCCACTTTCCCTGGATTAAGTTGTCATTTACTTTTTCAACTCTTGTATTACTTTGTCAAGGCTATCTCTACACATACACAGTAGCCCATGTAATCAGCAAACCAGGTTTCAGACAATTCTCTTTCTTTTAATTGAGAGTTCTAGAAGTAGAACTTGAGGTTGAATACATGGCAACAAATATGTTCTATCAACTTACAGCCCTCTTCATATGTACAGTGAATTTCAATGCTTAAAGAGTTTAATGCAAATGTTATATGGCTGCAAGAGATTTTTGTAATAATAAACTGCATCCAATACTACACTCCCAGACTTCTACTTGTGCCAGGTAATTACCCTTCCTTTTCCTTCTCCCAACCCATTCTGTATGCCAAATCTGTTCTGGAAGGTCCTGAGCATATCTGTACAAGTACAAATAGGTCAAAGTAAGGATCTATTCTGTTAGCATCCCTTATAAAAGGTCCCTGTTTACAACTTCAACTTGTAAAAATAGCAGATTATGAAACTAATATATTTTTGGAATAACAGAAGTTTCACTAACCATATTACTGATTGCCTCTTGTCTTAAGACAGATAAAAAAACTCTTTAGTGTAAGATGCACAATTGGCTTACAGAGTTTGCTGCCACAAGGTGAAATAATGAACAACTTTGATCATTTTAAAATGGGTTTAGATAAATTAATGGAAGATTTACTTATCAGAAACTATTAAATATATTTTTTTAAAAGCCTCCAGTTTTAATAAGTCTCATATCAGTTGCTAGAAACACTACAATTCTCATTATCTTGAGGGCTTCCAAGGACCTTCTGAATGACAGTGGACCTTTGGATTACAGGGTTCTTTTTGTAGCATACCAATTAGTCTGGTCTTGATATAACACTGCTCAAGTTACTGGAACTCTACATAATACAATTATTATTTGCCAAAAGAAAAGTACAGGATGAACATCCTAAATAACAATACAAAGAGTATTTCAATCTTAACAAGAAAAGTATGCCAAAAACTATGCCAAACATATTGCCCAATCTGGTTCACTTGAATTTTCTTTTAAATATTGAGAAAAAAGTGTGATTGTGGTTATTTTCAAAGAAGATAATGGGTCAATCCCTGGCAGGGTTTCTAAGCACTATGAATTTATTCAGCTGGTATAGAAAGTGAGTGTAAGACTTGAATAGACAATCTTTACAGCTAGTTTTTTATCACTACCGATGACACCTGGCTATTTTCTCTATGAAGTGTTGTTTTAAATTTTCTCCATTACATAAAAGGTATTTTTATTTATTTGAATTTCAGTTCTTTGTTCATAATTACTATGCAATCCAGTATAGTTTTGGTTAACAATTTTTACAGCTCTTTTATAAAACATCTTTGTTTGGGCTTCAGTGAGTTGTTCGCATCAATCCATTAAAATATTTGCCTGTTCACTGACAAATAAATCTGGACAATGAAACATTAAGTTTTCAGCAGACTCACAAAATCATGATTGTTTGGACAATTAAGGTGTTATACTGCTGATCTGATATGAACATCAACTGATTATTACTGGGCTAAAAAAAAGCAGAAGCACTGAAATAAAAACCTGAAAATAAGTTCTAAGACTTGAACACTATAATAGAACACTGTGATAATTGCAAATCATTTTAAAGAAAAACATTAAAAAATCACAGGGTTTTGTCAAATGTGATAAGTGTATTCAAATTATTAACACCTAGCAACATCACTTTAGGTTTGCTTGCATCAGTGAGACTTCCAAAAGAAACACATTTAAAACGTTGCTAGATCATATCTGAAACCCTTAAAAATAACCATTCAGCACAACAGTGCACATATTTTGAGAAGTCACAATCTATATACATACAAGAAACTCAATCAGCCTGAAAGATGTTTATATACCTAGAAAAAGTAGCAAAGTAAAAGCTTTAATTTATTAAGCAATAACTTAAGCAATAATCTGCTCTACCTTTTAAGAAGTTTGTTGAACCATACATATAAACTAAAGTCCAACTATTTAGCAAGCAGAACACTGCTTAATCTTTATCACCATAACCTTCACTCCTTTCCAGGAAAGAGAAGAGATTTAACTTTGGAGATGGAAATCCAATCTTGTGATCTTCTACCAAACATCTGCAAACTTGCTATACACCTTATCTTTGTGAGATGAGAGGCAAAAAGGAGGCATTTTATAACATTTAATGCTTGAATCTGTAGGATCTATAATTTTCCCATTCCTCCTAAACTCTCTCAGAATTGGGAGACAGTGAATGCTAATTCTATGATGATCAAGGTGAGGGGGAATTTGTAAAAATAAAATTAAAAATCAAAAAAGGGCAAAACACTCTGTAACTCTCCCCATTTTATTTTGAAATCTCTCACCTGCAAGTACTGATTTGCCAGTCAGTTTCCACTGTATCATTTCTGTTCCAAATGATTTACCTTTTCAAATATATAAATACAAACTTAAAATCCCTTTAGAATGTAAACGTCCCTTTAGAAACTAAAATATTTATAATTAATTATATTTCTAAACTGCCCAAGAATTGGAGGTTTTTTTGATACTGTTCCCACAAGTTTACTCTGCTACAAAATAGGGCAGAATGACTTATTTCTGCTTACCTGACAAAATGACTGTCAACACAGATACAAAGAAAACTGCAATTGACATTGCCTTTTCATAAATGGCTTTAACGTGACTAATGTTATAATCAACTTCTGCCCCTTGGAATGTTGTTCAACTCCCATCTATTCCAGATAGCATAACAATTACAAGGGATAATCGGAGCTGCAGATTTGGGATCACATGATATCCATCCTTTATGGAAACCACAATGTTAGTGACACAATTGTTAACAGTCTTAACCCTGCCCAGTTGCTTGAGATTTAACAATTCCAATATTTTTAAATATTTTTAAATTAGTGGGTCCAAATACTGTTACTTATTCTTCAAACACTTAGCATGTTTTTTTCAAGTGGTTACAAGACAAATGATCCTAATCTTCAACAGATTCAGTCCAACATTCAGCCCATGGTATCCACATAGCAAACAACTCCTCAATCACGGTTAGACCTTCACTGAGGAAAAAAATAATACAACAAATTCAACAAATTTTACTGAATTAGAAGGCTTTCATTACCCCATTCCTATGGAGATATATTCAGATCTTAATCCCTTCCGAGAAAAGATGCACAATATTGCAACCTTTGAAGTCCATTACTTGCAAAAGTGGTTTAATTATATGATTTTAGTGCTTTGGAGAAAATAACAGCAGATATTCAGCTGTGTAGATAAACATCTCAACAAAGTCCTCGAATCAATGGACTTATAGTTAAAATAGCTTTATAATTTTTTCTGGTATTCCTCATATTACAAAATGTGGAAAAATGTACATTACCTCACATACAAAAGAAGTTTGTTTCAGTGACAATATTGATAATATAAAGCTTTCTAAATCCATCCTATTAACATTTTAAGTCATTTACAAAACTCTTTTTGTGCAGTTCAATGTTTTAGACTACCTGAACCTAAACTAAATAAATCCCCCATTTTCAGTTGTAATATCACCCTCAAAACACAACAATTGCAAAGAAGGTTTATTTTCCAAATAATGACTTCATTGCTAATCACTGAATTTCATATTTAACTCATAACTCTCCTCTTAAGAGCTCAGAGAAGCATTTTAGCCTTGCAACAAGAAGATTCATCCTTTAGACAGCAGGTATATTTGGAATGATTAACATCTTAAGTTAAAGTGTCAAGGCAAATTAAACATAAGAGACCCATGCCAAGGGAATTACAATTGAGTATGGCTCCACTAAACCTTCTAAAATACATAATACTTTAATAATAGAAAAGAAATTGAATCAAAGTTCACTGCACTGTTCAACCTGATAATCAAACCATTTGCTGCCTTCCAATGGGGTGGAAAGGGCAGGAGGTGGATTTCCAGTACTGTACTTAATAGTAGTTCTGTTTTGGTGTGTTCATAAATTACAAAGACATACATTGACAGAGGTCAGAGGCAGTGTTTACTCATACAGTAACCCATGGACACCCAGTTAACCCAGTTTTCTAGTTTCACACAATACAATCCATCACCCACTAGCTAGCCAAATTTGGGTCTAATGTGCACTACAAATTTAATCTGAGATTCAAAAAAGCCTGGGGAAAATATTGAACTAAAAACTATTAGAAGCCAACTGGAAATAGATGACAAGGTCAAGAGAAGAAAACGGCTCAAGGTATCTGCAGACAACACCTAACTGAATTCAAAAGGCTGGGAACCTTACCAGCCCCTCCCCTGTCCCTGCATCCAGCAACCAGCCCAATTACCTAGTAACGTAATCAGAGCCACTAACATGGACTAACAACCCTATAGCAGCGCTTGTCAGCCTGATGATGGGCGCCCTCAGGTCCTAAAAGTGCGCCAAGCGGTCCACTAATCGACTTCGAAGTTATTTTAGATATTCCTCCGGTCAACCCCAGGCACTCCGGCGTTGGAAAAATGCACCAATTCCGAATGCCGCGGATGTGGCAGAGGAGGGGGAGGGCTGAGAAAGCAGATCCGTCACCCCACTCGGGAGTAGAGGCACAAGTTCACGGACACGCCGGCAAAACGGGGGAAAGCCCCGCTCGGAGGCCCTGGGGGTAAGGAAGGAGCCTGGTCCCACTGAGGAGAGAAGGGACCCCCCTCACGCCTCCTGCCTTCCCTGGAAGAACCACCTGCTACCAATCTTTCCGTCTTCCGCATCCACCCCCCTCGAGCCAGGGCCTGCTTCAGGCTTCCCCCAGCCTTTCTCCTGAGGAGTCCGGGGGAACCTTTACCCAGGCCGGAAAAGCAGCCGTCCCTCACAGCCCAGCCCTTCGCCAGCCCACCCGAGCAGCACAACGGACTTCTTACCAGCCCTAAAGGCGACGGCTCCTCGACTAAGATGGCAGCCAGTCCAAGTACAATCTCAGAGAGCGACTCCCAAAGCCGGGCACCCAGGACGCATGCTCCGAGCGAAAGATTATATATGTGTGTGTATGTGTGTAGGGAAGCTTACACAGACGAGGCCGAGCAGGACTACAGTTCCCAGGAAGCTGCTGGAGAACGGCGGCGTGCTGTAATTGGCTCCCCGGGTAGAAACCTCTTTAACGAAAGGAGGTGACTTTGTTTCGCGCACGAACGTCTGATTTTTTTTTTCTTACTGTTTTCGTGTTTGTGTTTGCTTGTTCTCAGAAAGTAACGGAGAATCATGGCCTGGACAATATGTTCCTTTAGTGGTGTTCCTCACTAAAGTTTTGTCTACACGCAGACTTCTTGCTATTTCACGGCTATACATTCATGGAAATTTTTGAGCCTAGGAAGATATTCTTACTACTTCAACTTTTTCTCCACTTATTTGTATACGGTTAGTGTTGCCTATCAATATAATTTTAGTTTCCTTAATATTCAACAGCAAATCAGCTTTTGTACTGTAAGGTTCACGGCTACCCAAAAAACTTGAAATCAATCAGCAGCACAAAATAAAAGACTTCAAGCAGGGACTTCTCTAAGCAGCGTTTTATTTGGCCAAGCAAAAGTCTGGGTGCCCACACCATGCGCCAGGAGAGAGCACGTTGGCACACCCTTAGAGACAAAACCACAGCCTTTTATCGTATTTTTAAAAAAGTAGATCTTAGTACCATCATAATGAAGATGAGTTTTACAGCCAGTCAAACTTTAGCAGAATACATTATTCCCTGCCCCTGTTTGCTTACATTAAATTTAAAGGAGTTGCCCCTAACCCTTATATCTTATCAGTCCCTTCAGACCCTTGTTCGGGGTCCTCCTTCCTTATCAGGCCTCAGACTTAGTTTCTGGAGGAGTCTTCCCTATTATCTGAGCTTTGTTCCTCTTACAATTTTGCTAATTGCTATTAG